TTGAAAGGCATTTTGGTTAAAATATAGAACAAACGATAAATGTCTTAAAAGAACAGGATGAACAGAAATATTTATTAAAGAATATAGACAAGATGGTGTAAATACCCAAAGAATATCCAAAATGAACTAGTGCATCGTGCTAATAAGAATGAAAGAGTTCAAATGAAAATGTGCATTTAAGTGACATTTGGTATTGCCTCTAATGATCCCTTAACTAGCCTCTTAAAATTTGATCAGCTTTTGGTTTTTCCACTGAAGAAATTAAAAAAGAAAATACCATTATCAAATATAATCAACTTGCTGTCTATATTGTATGTGTGTACCTACAAAATTCAGACATGAACTCTAAAATAGAAATTTTGATCTCCTTGATCTTTCTCACAGAATTAAAAGGGAAGTAGAAGACTGGTATTTCACTATGTAAAGGCAATATTGCATTGCCTGTTGCCTCAAACATTGCTTCTTTTCTGTTGAGAATTTCCAAAGAATGGCATGAACCAAGGCAATGCAATTTTAGGCAAAACTTCACTGTGCTGTTTAAAGTGCTGACTAAATACCAAGAGGACTGACGAGGAGATGAGTTCTTAGAGCAGGGAGTCACATTATGGGTTTCATTAGAATAAATTTCAACATGTTCTTCCTATCCTTCACTCCACTTTTGGGTTTCTTACCTCCAGGAGGGATGTAGACACAGCTGAGCTGAGCTTCATGCACCAAAGTACCCTTAAACTTCCCCTCTGTTTCTGCAGATGGACTAGGAAGCGGCTGGTACGCAGGCGTAGCAGGCTGAACGAAGGCTCGAAACATCGTGAATTTCCAGTTGTGTACTAATAGGTTGATTTTTAAAACTAAATAAATATCTTGCTCTTGACCTTTTCTCCTTGTAATTTTTTAAAACCCAGAAACCATTTCAGTGCCACAAAAGTTTACATGGCCATGTCTTATCACTGCAACTTTAGGTTATGGTAATTACTTTAAGCTTTAGAATTCTAAAAACCACACCTTCTTTCTTGGTTCTTTTCAACCTTGTCTTTTTCTCTTTCCTTCTGTGCTCACTGCTTATGTAGAGATGGCCTCTCACCCAGGAAAACTGGGATTGAAATGTGAGGCTAATGGTTGCTGTCAGCCTGTCAGCTCATCACCTCCCTGCGGCATGATGATCTCTGGTTTTTATGTATCACCACAAGCTGCTTTGATATACCCTCTTGTGTGGAAGAGTGATAGGTTTGTGCAGGAGTTGGTAGACCTTGGGCCTAAGAGACAGAAAACTTCATTTGGAATGTGCACTTTAATGGAATTCACAGCCCCTTTCCCTGTGGAATGTAGCTCAAGTTGCAAAACTATTTTAGGGAGAAAAAAGTTAGGCTCAGTTCTACATTTTATCTGGTGTCACCTTTCAGTAGTCAGGACTGTTGGTAAACCTGTTTTTCCCCCCTTGGCTATTTAAATTTTATGTTCAAACTAAATATTAACTGGGATGAAAAGAGTTATTTCAAAATGATCTGATTTTAAGTTTAACACCATGTTGTTTTAGAGATGAATGGCTGGATCCTAAAGAAGTGTCCACAATGTCTTAAATAATTACTACAAATCCCGTCTTTCCTTCATTCTGCTTTGACACTGAAAGATGTTTTCCGTCTCTCAATCTGCATTCCAGTCATCTTGCTGTAACAACAGTGTCACACTGCTTCTCTATTTGTATCAACAGTTTCCTTGGCATCCTACCCTTATGGAAACCTAGCTCCTTATGTCAGATGCCACAAATATGTAACATCAAAGAAAAATGACACCCCAAATATTTCTATTAATATATTCTACTGATGAGACACCAATGGCTGGTTTTTCCTCTGCCATTGGGTCTCGGGTTTCTTAGTTATGCTGTGTTTTTCTCCCTTGCTACACCTTTCTCCTTTGCTAGTTTAGGAAAACTCAGTCTCCAAGAAAAGAGAGTTTTTATTGTAACCAAAAAAACAGACCAGGCTGCTAGTTTTGTAACTAATATTAAAGCCACCAAAACACACAAATGTATTCAGATTTATTAAGTGGTTGAAAGATAGTGATCCAATCTGCTTCTACTTAAAGAACATGAGGGTAGAAGGATTAGTGCGTAGGAATCTGTGTCGGGAATCAGAGTAGGGAATTAGTGTTCATGGACTGGAAACAACCTTGAATATGAAGTTTCAAAGTACTCATTTAATGATCTTGAGATGAAAGAACTTTGTTTTGATATGAAAGCTCTCATAGTACATTGGCTTCAGAACTCAGATGTTCTCTTTCTTTTTTTTTTTTTTTAAGATGGTCCATATACCGAGGAGGAATATGTGTACGTATTTCTATCTAAGAGGATAAAATGGTTCTGTTCAAGAAAAAGCTGGGATTTTTTTTCCCACTCCCCCCACAACATGTAGGTAGATACACTGATACGCTGACAATTACAAAACCAAACTTTAAAACCCCATTGCCACATTTTGACAGGTTAGTAATTTTGTTCATAGGGTTCCTCTTTAAGATATTTGCTTAAAATAGCACTAAAAAGAGATTTCTTTTACATTAGTTCCCCCTTATCCAAGGGGGATACTTTCCAAGACTCCCAGTGGATGCCTGAAACTGCAGATAGTTCCAAACCTTATACTTGTTTATGCTGTTTTTCCCCATACATACATATCTATGAAAAAGTTTAAATTAGGCACAATAAGAAATCAACAATAACTGATAATAAAATAGAACAATTATAACAATATGCCAGCATCACTACTCTTGTGCTTTGGGGCCATTATTAAGTAAAATAAGGGTTACATCAACACAAGCACAGAGATACTGCAACAGTTGCTCTGATAACCAAGAAGGCTACTGAGTGAATGTCTACAGGAGTGTCTACAGCATGGATGCGCTGGACAAAGGGATGACTCATGTCCCCAGTGGGATGGAATGGGGCTGTGCGAGATTTCATCAAGCTACTCAGGACGGTGCACAATTGCATACTTATAAATTGTTTATTTCTGGAATTTTCCATTTAATATTTTTGGACTGCCCATGGAGGGAGGGGACTACTGTACCTTTGGATATCTGAATCATTACTGACAACAAGCAGAAATTCTATGCTCATGCATTGGTCAGAGAAGTGGGAAAAAGGTGTAGTTAGAATATAAGCTGTTTTAATGACAAAATAATATTAATATAATGAAATGTTTTGAAAGTTTAAATTAAAAATTTTTCCTTTTAAAAATATATTTTGTGACCCACCCACAACCAAGTAAAGAGCACACAAAAAACACCATTTTTATGTGGGTAGCCCACCACAGCCACCACAGTTGCTGCGGCTGCTGCAAAAGCGGCTAGTCTCTAGCAGCAGTCACAGCCACCATGCAGATGGCACGCCAGACTCTCAACTGCATTGACACAAGGAGAGGCACCAGAAGAGGTCCTCTTTCTCTGCAAAGCACACTCCAAAGTAGTAGAAGAAGCATCTAATTTCTGATCATAGGGGAGGACTTGATCACACCAGTTTCAGTACTAGACAGGTAAGAGGTCCTCTTTCTCTGCAAAGCACACTCCAAAGTAGTAGAAGAAGCATCTAATTTCTGATCATAGGGGAGGACTTGATCACACCAGTTTCAGTACTAGACAGGTCATCTAGGCAACAGACCAACAGAAGAACAGTTAATCTATCAGATGGAGAGAACAAATCTATGGTTATTTGGGGGGAGGAGGAGAAAGGGGAGGAATTGGATAAGGAACATAAAGAATAAGTATGATTTGTAACAATGAATATGCTAATAAAAAATAAAATTAAAAATAATAAAAAAAATATATATATATATTTTGTAGTTTCATTGCCCTATCATAATATTGCTGCTGTTTTCAATGAAGATTTTTTAAATGTGTATGTAGTTAATGCATTATTTATGTGATTAATACTACCAGACTCTCAGATGTTTACAAATGTGTTTTGGAACTGCTTCAACCTTTGTAATAGAAATGATGTAGACAGGTACATACTAAATTATACAACTTATTTGAACAGTATTAAATGAATCAATAGCAGCTATATTATACCACATTTTCTTTCATTACTAAATGACTAAATCATAGTCACATCTAATCTTTCAACAGTTATAAATGTTCTGTATAGACATTTTGAAGTCAGAGATTTATTATTAAATTTTATTTTTTTCAGTGCCCTATTCCTAACTTCCAGCTTACAAAGCCAGTTTTTCACTTAACATATTCTTGGGAGAAGGAGAAGGGAGGGAGGTTTCTAGGCATAATTTGGGCATCAGGTTTCTGAATATTTAAAAATAAAGATGAAATGTGTTCATGAAATGTGCAAATGGAGTGTAGAAACAATGATGTCTCAAAGCCAGGAATTTTAGAAATTCTGATTTCATGTTCAATCTACATTTATTCATTTGTTTAAGAAGTATTTACCAAATGCCTGTCATGTTCAGGTACTATCTTTATAAGGAAAACACACTTTATTGGTTGGTGTATGTATCTGTGTGTGTGTGTGTGTGTGTTTGCGCGTGCGCGCGCGCCCGCACGCATGCACAAAACCACTACAGATTTCTCTGTGGACTTAAAAAATTCCAATGCTTGGGCCGGCCCGGTGGTGCACTGCTACAGTGCGCCGCTTGGGAGCGTGGTGGCGCTCCCGCCGAGGGTTCGGATCCCACATACAGAGCGGCCGCTCACTGGCTGAGCGAGGTGCGGGCGCAGCGCCGAGGGTTGTGATCCCGTTGCCGGTCCCGGTCCGGTACCGGCACAACACTGAGGGTTGCGATCCGTTGCCAGTCACGAAAAAAGACAAGGGGGAAAAAAAAATTCCAATGCTTGATTTTTAAGTGTTAACTCCAATGATTGGTTTCATTTATTCAATAATTATTAAACATATTGATTCAATACATAAATTATTATGTATTTTCCTTTAAAAAGGAAAGGGAATTTCTTTCCATTTTGTAGTTCTGAGGATGCTCATAACTTGTTTGCTGTGCTTTTTGCAGTGTCCATTTATGGAATTTGGTTTTATGATAAGGAAGAATGCCAAAGAATTGCAGAGCTTATGAAGAAGTAAGTGCTGGAGGCCAACTATGTTTCAGGACCTGGTGTTTTTGTTTGTATTTGTAAGTGTGTATAACTACACTGTCATCTTAACGGGGTATATCTTTCTTCAGCAATTCTTTTTATAGTGGTCAGGAAAACATTTAATATTACTTAATAAGCGAAAAATAGACATAAGAAACAACTTGCTACATTTTCACTAGGTAAGATTTATCATCTAGAATGACTCAACTCATTTTTTTCTGCTTGTGTGAAATATATATGAGTTGTTCCAGATGGCAATTTTCCTTAATATTTTCTCATTTGTAAATTGGCAGTTTTTTGCTTTGAAAACTTATCAACATGGCTGTCAGTAAAAAGAACATTCGGAGCTAAAAGGAAGCTAAAAGGCTGTTCCAGATTCTCTAAAATCTTTCATTCCTTCCTTCTGCAAACACTTTTAACTGTACGAGTATATCCATGTTTGTGGGAGCTCAGAATTTCCTCCCATGTCTCAAATACTGAGTACTTATGATAGTCTTTATTTTCAATCTCTTTGGAAATTTCTGAATTAATATTAGTTTAGTGATCAGTAGACAGCCTCTCTCTCTTTTTGTCACTAATCTCTTTCTTTTAATCTCATGATATCTTGTGATTTGTCCCATTCTGCATTTTGGGAAACTTCAGAATTACTGTGTGGATTCACCGCTCTTGGCTTCCTTGATCGCACTGAAAGGAGGGCCCAGGTGTGCGTGTCCTCTTCTCTGTGATTGGGCAACTCTTTGATTGGTTCTTGAGCCCCAGGGCTGCTCGCTGTGAGGCAGTTATTTCTCTGCTATTTATGGGGATGGGTGAGAACCTCAGAATGAAATGCGTTTCCTACACATTCTGTGTCTCAGCCTCGGGCTGGACTCAGCCAAGCACATAGGACAGCTGCTGTCCACATGGATGTGACACTGCAGCTCTGTCTGCAAAAGAACCAATTTCCACTTTTAAATCCTGGGACAATTAAATGACTAACACTGACTCCAAGGAAATGAAAAATGGGGAGCACTTTTTTGTAAATAAGATTGATTTCTGAAAATCTAGCTTGTGATAGCTAATTTTAGGTAACTTAGCTCAAATTGCAGGTGGTGATTAAGTGTGTTCAAACTGGTATTTACCATCATAAAAATTAGTTCCTAGAACATTCATGTCATTGTAAATTGTGCAATGGATAATAATAGCAGGATTTCATATAGATGAAAAAATACTCTAGCTCAGCCAAGAGGCTGTGTTAAAATTGTCAGCATTCTGCAGTAAATTACTTAACAGCTTGGGCAGAAAATTGATTATTTACTAGCCATAAGCAGCTGATTTGTGTGAATTCAGACCCTTCCCCAGTTAGAATGAAATCTCTCGGTACATTCTCAGATATTTTTACCATAAACTTCATGGCAACAATAAAATAATTTGAGCTGAAAGTCAAAGCACACAAATGGAAAAAGTATTTTTCTTCACAGTACCTAGCAGCAAATAGGCACAATCTGGTCTCCCCTGTGGATTGTTTTCAGGGCAACAAAAGTCACTCCTCATTGCTCTAAGTGGTTTTTCAAATGTCCGCTCTTCTCAGAATCTTCACTGTGTTTTTAAGCTGCCAGATGACTACAGGATTTGAGTTGCTGGAATCAACCTTGCTTTGACTTCAAGGCACTTTGGAATGAAGGGGGAGCTCTATTTGCATGCAGCTTCCTCAGTGCTTGAGATCTCTAAATTGGGTTTCCTCAGCAGCTGATGAGAGTGTCCTTTCAAATGCTCTAAAGGAGGAGTTGGCAAATGTTCTTCTGAAAGAGACCAGAAAGTGTTTTAGGCTTTGCAGGCCATCTCTGCTGCAACTACTTGACTCTGGCCTTGCAGTGTGAAGGCGGCCATTAACAATACATACACAAGTGTGAATGGCTGTTTGTAACTTTATTTACAAAAACAGGTGGTGGGCTGGATTTGCCTGCAGGTTATGGCTTGCTGAGCCCTACTCTAAATTCATGTATTTAGTCAGTGAATTCAGGACCTCAACTCTCATTTTTCTTTAAATTCCTAAGCAGTCTTATTTCTAATATGGTTGTAACTGGATGAAAACAACTCAGTGAGAATTGGGATGGTTTAAGATAACCATTTGTGTTGAATTGGTTTTTCTTTTCTGGATTTTCCCTCTATTTTTCTAGCCTAACTCAATATGAACAGTTGAAAGCCCATCAGGGAGCTGGAGCAGGAATGTCCCCCATGATCCTCAATTCAGGAGAGGGCAAAGAAGTAGATATATTACGAATGCTCACCAAGGCCAAAGATGAATACACAAAGGTGAGTTTTGGTCCTTCCTTGTGATACATACTTAAATTCCACAGTGGGAATATTGTTGTCAAGAAAGTCTGGGTGCTGTTCCTTCCAACAGAAAAGATTGTATGAAAAATAAAATCTTTATTTGCTTTTAGTAGGTGAAAGAAGACTGTTCGCTTTTAAGTGAATTGAAAGATAGCCTGAGAAATCAATAGCATTCATATATACAAACAGTATTTAGTTAGAAGATTTACTCAAACACAAGACCCCATTTACAGTAGCAACAAGTGAATATAAAAATCTTTGTAGGGCCGGCCCGGTGGCACACTGCTACAGTGCGCCGCTTGGGAGCGCAGTGGCGCTCCCGCCGAGGGTTCGGATCCCACATGCAGACCTGCCGCTCACTGGCTGAGCGAGGTGCGGGTGCAACACCGAGGGTTGCGATCCTGTTGCCGGTCCCGGTCTGGTACGGGCGCGACACTGAGGGTTGCGATCCGTTGCCGGTCACGAAAAAAGAAAAAAGGAAAAAAAAAAATTCTTTGTAATAAAATTTACAAGAAATGGATAAAGCCTGTATGAGGACAACTTTTTAAAACTCCTGAAAGGCATAAAAATGGACTTAAACAAGTAATTGGATAAGAAGATTCAGAGCTCTCAGTTTTCCTTAAATCTACAAGTTAAGGTGATCCCTAAACAGATACCACTGGTTTCTCTCCTCCTCCCCTTCCTCTTCTCTCATCTCTTTCCCCTTCTTCTGTTTTTCCTGGAGCAAGACAAGTTGATTATAAGGGACCCATGGAGAAATATACAAGAAAGAATAGAAATATACAAGAAGAAAAGCCTGGGCAAAAAAGAGCAATATTGGCAGGGTGTTGGGGTGAGGATGGGGGGACAGATGGGGGAATGGTGGTGGAGCAAGCTGTACTTAATATTAAAACATTGAAGCCTAAACATTTAAAACAGTGTGGTGTTGATGGTACTGACACATAAATAGCCAGATAGACCAATTGGACAGATGAGGACGTCCAAAATTAGACCCAAGTGTATATGAAATTTAGGATATGGTAAAAGTGGCAATCTCAAATCAGCTATTTGAATGGATTTTTAAATAGTGTTGGAGCAACTGTTGGCCATGTGGAAAAATATAAAATTGAATCTGTACCTCGTACCATATACCAGGGTAAATTCCAAATGTATCAGAAATTTAAATGTAAAAATATAACCATTCAGGTAACAGAAGAAAATTTGTGTGGATTTCTCTGCAATCTGGGAAAAGGGAAATCTTTCTAACTGTGCCTTAAAGTCCAAAAGCAACTAATTCAACTACATAAAAATAAAAAATAAACATTTTGCAAGGTTTAAGAAAAACACCATACAAAAACTGAGAAAAAAATATTTACGCCTAAATAATAAGAAGGTTAATTTCCCTATTTTTCTAAAGAGCTCCTAAATATTCACAACTAAAAGATTAACACTATCTAGAGAAATGGACAAAAAATAAAATTAAGAAAAAAGAACACGAAAGTCCTAGAACTTGGAAACTAGTTGAAAGACGTGTATATAACTGAATATCAAATTATGACATAATTACTTAGAAAAAAATTAGAGTGACTTTAAAACCCAGGGTTTGAACTGAACACTCTTAGTGGGTTGTATTTGAAGGACAAAAAGAACTGCAGAGAAATAATAAACAATCCAGTGGTTTTATTGTTAGTAGTAATACTGGCACTGTAATTTTTCAACTGTCATGAATATAATAAATAAGAAATTATGTTAATGTGGTTAGAACAAAGACCTCAGCGTAAGAGAAAAAAACAAATTAAATAAATTAAGCTAAAACTGTATATTATTAAATTTTAAGTGGAAATATCAGAAATAGTTCATGTTTTGTTTCTTAACTATAGAAACAAAAAATAGGAAGAATTCCTAACTTTCCCTAGAAAGACGGAAAAATAAGTGATAACCCAGTATTAATATGTACATCTATCAACCAGATTCTTATTTCTAAGTATTATTTCCTCCTAAATAGGTATCAGGGCTCTTTAAAGCAATTTTTTATTCCAGTCTGGGATAGTAAAGTCAAACTAATAGGGTCATGTGAAAAGAGCACAGTAGTCAGCTTAAAGGATCACTGACCAGAGCACTGAATTCTAACTCAAAAGAAATGACTACAATGGATTGAAACAAATTGAATGTATAAACATCTATGAGTTCATGGTGATGAGAGAGAGCAAGCAAACCAGAAATATAAAACAAAACAAAAAATAATTATTGGCTATCTTTTGAAGGTACTAAGGCACCAACTCCTTCCTCTGAAAACTGGTAATTAATGAGAATGAATTAAGCATTTCTCCTGCCTGCCCTTAGTGGACCATATTTTAGAATAACCAAACATCCGTGGTCGATGAGGGTAAGTTCTTCTCTACCAAAGAATTTTAGCCAATAATGTAGAGGAAATGACAGAGCTTAAAAACAGAGCTTAAATAATTGATTCAGGCAATGAGCATCAGTAATATTAATATTATGAGAAAGGTTGATGGAAACTTGACCATGGAAGGATCAGGCTGCCACCACCTGAACCTCACTCATTAGCATCATTAACAGCTGAAGAACTAGCCACTATGGCCTCCTACTGTGTTATAACATGCAATGGACAGCACCATCTTGAAATATTCTTGTCCAAAGAGTTGATCCTGAATCTAATTAAGCCTTGAGACCTAACTTTCTAGTTTACAGAAAGTGAAAGGGGGTGGGGGCAAGGGGAGAGCAAGTAGAAAAACGATACCACCAGGATGCAGTAGGAAAAATCCTGACCTGAATGAAGTGGAACATCCAGAAAATTGACCAAGTTTCTTCAACATACCATTGACTTAATTTGACTCACTCTTGATTGTTAGACTGTGAGCTTCTTGAGTACAAACAACATCTTTTATTCATCTTTCTGTCCCTTGTTGGCTTCAAAGTACCTAACACATGGTGAGTGCTAAATGATGGCTGTTGAATGAATGAAGTAATATGAATATTTCCACAGTGTCCACAATTTCCTTTTCCTTTTCCTTTTAATTTTTTATTTTAGGGCCTGGACAGAGATGCCTTAATCCCAGCTTCAGACAGTAACAACTATTTCTGTATTAGTTTTATTTGTTTTTTAATTCTTCAAAAGTCATTAAAAGGAATCCTAACAACCTGGCAACTAATAAAATAATAAAATAATTATACTTTATTAATTGTACTATATTAGGTGTACCAAAAATTAATCTTTAAAAGATGACATTTCTGGCCTCTAGGAACTTAGACATTTCTGTGAAGACAGCATGACAGTGGTAAATAAATAATAAATACAAATATTAAACAAAAATTATTTTCTTTTCTCTCCCTCCCTCCTCTCCACACACACACACACACACACACACACACACACACACACACACACACACACTATTGTTTATATTTTTATCTTCTGTATATTATAACATTTTCACATCTTAAAACCTTTCTGGCTTGGGAGAGACTGCCACTCTCAGTACTTGCCAGTTCTTAGAGATAGCAAAGAGCTGGATGCCTTTGATATGCAAACAATCAAATCCAGAGCCAGGGCTCTGGGCCAGCATGATACAATATTCCTCTGCCTTAATCCTCCCAGGGCCAGGTACCAGACAACTAGGGAGCACTCCTATAGCTTGGAGCCCCGTAGCATAGAGCACGCTGGAATTACTCACACTAGCTGGTCCTAAACTGTTCATCATGCCCTGCCTTGCCTTTCCCTAGGAAACCCCAGTAAAGGCTCTGGCCTCAGCTTTCCCCTTGCTCTTCCCCATGAGGTTCCGCCTAGTGTGTGTGGCCTGCCTCTTGTTTCTAGACCTGCGAGTGTAACAGACTGTTTTCCTGAGCCTTTCCTGTCTCCTCTATGGCCACAGCTGACTGACCATCACATAAAAGAACATGGAACACAGACACACATACTCAGACCCCTCATACATGGTTTTGAAGATCTAATTTGGGCCATCACTCTGTACTATACCTACAGTTTGAATATTTTGCCCCTTGTTTGCCCTTCAGGATCTACATATCCTTCAAGGCCCAGTAAAAATGCCACTTTTTACATGGAGTTTTCCCAGATCTCTTCAGTCCAATTAATTACTCTTTCCACTGAACTCCCCAGTCTGTTACTGTTTAGAATTTATTTTGTTCTTCCTCATTTATTATGTTTATGTCAACTTCTCCCACTACACTATAAACTTGCTGAGGTCAACGCAATGTTCTATTCATTTTTATGCCCCAACAGATTTGTTGTTATACTGTTGACATGAACATGCAGATGTTTAATTAGTGTATAGACTGTGCTTTTCTATAAAAATCAAATACATGTTGGTATATGCATAACATATGCTCCAACTGTGAGATAAATAACAGAAGAAATTATTCCTTCTGCCATTAACAGCCAGATGATGACCTAGAAACACCTGCGTGATCTTGTTACTTTCCTGGTCTAAATCCTTCTTTGTTTGTCATTGCCCAGTGCCTGAGCCCTTGACCCCTTCGAGCCTTCTGTACATGGCCTCAGATTATCCTTCTAACCCTGCTGCCTTCTATGAATGTTTGAAACTCCTGCCAAGCGGAATAACTCGTTCCTGAAAGCGCCTTCGTGCTCTCTCTCATGCTGTCCCCTCGCCCTGCACCTGTCTCTCCAGGCCCATTTCACCTGCTCCTCTTCGTCATGCTGTTTCTGATCCACCCGGCCAGATGCATGTGCCCCCGTTAGCTTCCATGCTGTGACAACCCTCTTACCCCATGTTGTCTTCTCCCACCCAACAGATGTGTCAGAAATGTGGGGATCGTGAGCCAAGTGGTTCTGAGGTACAAGAAAGGGGGAGATGGGAAGAGCAAGAGAGAAAGAACGCAGAATTTTTTCTCAGAATTCTTGTTGTGGGGAAGTGAGTCCCTTTTAATGGAGGTGTTCAAGGAGAGATTGAACCGTCGCATTTGGGGATGTTTTAAAAGAATTTCACTTCTCTGGATAAGTATTAAACTAAAAGACCTCTGAGATCCTTTTCAACTCTAGAATTCTTTCTTTTTGCAGTTTTATTTTTTAAATTTTCAATTGAAAAAAATTGTATATATTTTGATGTACAAGATGATGTTTTGATACATGTATACATTGTGAATTGGCTAAATCAAGCTAATTAACATGTGCATTACCTCACATTTTTTGTGTGGCGAAAACACTTAAAAACTACTCTTAGCAACTTTCAAGTATATAATGTATTGTCATTAACTATAGTCACCATGATGTATAATAGATCTCTTGAACTTATTTCTCCTGTCTAACTGAACTTCTGTGTCCTTTGGCCAGCATCTCCCCAGTACCCTTATCCCCCCAGCCCCTGGCAACCACCACCTTTCTACTTTCTGCTTCTATGAGTTCGACTTTTATAGATTCCACATATAAGTGAGATCATGTGGTATTTGTCTTTCTGTGCCTGGCTTATTTCACTTAACATAATGTCCCCCAGATTCATCCATGTTGTCACAAATGTCAGAATTTCCTTCTTTTTTTAAGCCGTATGTTATATACCATCCATTTGTTGATGGGCACTTAGATTAATTCCATATCTTGGCTATTGTGAATAGTGCTGCAGTGAACATGGGAATGCAGACATCTCTTTGACATACTGATTTCATTTCCTTTGGATATATACCCAGAAGTGGGATTGCTGGATCATATGGTAGTTGTGTTTTTAATACCGTTTTCCATAATGGCTGTACTAATTTACATTCCCAACAACAGCGTACAACGTTTCCCTTTTCTTTACATCATTGCCAACTCTTGTCTTTTTCTTTTTTTTTTTAAGGTTAGAAAACATAGGCCAGAATTTTATTTTTTTATTTTTTGTCTTTTGTCTTTTTCCGTGTCCGGCAACGGATCGCGTTGCCCCCGTACCGGACCGGGGACCGGCAACGGGATTGCAACCCTCGGTGTTGCTCCCGCACCTCGCTCAGCCAGTGAGCGGGAAACGGTCTGTATGTGGGATCCGAACCCTCGGGCGGGAGCGCCGCCGCACTTCCCAAGCGGCGCACTTATCCAGTGTGCCACCGGGCCGGCCCCTTATTTTTTAAATTTTTTTAATTAATTTATTTTTAAAATTTTAATTCATCAATATACAGTGTAGTTGATTTTCGTGTCCCTTTTTATTTGAAACCATTGCTTATCAATTAGCCTGTTGTCAGGTTTTAAATGTACCTCGACACCCAGATTAATGTGTCCCAATTAGCTGGTCTGGTCCCATGTCAGGGGAAGGTGATGAACAGATGGAAATGTCTTTTGTATTTTTGATAATAGATATTCTAATAGGTGTGAGGTAACATCTCATTATGGTATTAATTTGCATTTCCCTGATGATTAGTGATGTTGAGCATTTTTTTATGTACCTGTCGACCATTTGTACATGTCTCCTTTTTTTTTTTTTTTTTTTCCTTTTTGTCTTTTTCCGTGTCCGGCAACGGATCGCAACCCTCAGTGTCGCCCCCGTACCGGACCGGGACCAGCAACGGGATCGCAACCCTCGGTGTTGCTCCCGCGCCTCGCTCAGCCAGTGAGCGGGAACCAGTCTGTATGTGGGATCCGAACCCTCGGCGGGAGCGCCGCCGTGCTTCCCAAGCGGCGCACTATAGCAGTGCGCCACCGGGCCGGCCCCTGTACATGTCTCCTTTTGAAAAATGTCTGTTCAGGTTCTTTGCCCATTTTTTAATTGGGTTATTTGTTTTATTATTGAATTGTTTGAGTTCCTTATGTTTTTTGGATATTAACCGCTTATTAGATGTATGGTTTGCAAATATTTTCTCCCCCTCCATAGGTTGTCTCTTCACTCTGTTAATTGTTTCTTTTGCTGTGCAGAAGCTTTTAGGTTTTGTTTGTTTGTTTGTTTGTTTGTTTGTTTCCCTTTTTGTCTTTTTTTGTGACTGGCAACGGATCGCAACCCCCAGTGTCGCGCCCATACCAGACTGGGACCGGCAACAGGATCGCAACCCTCGGTGTTGCGCCCGCACCTCGCTCAGCCAGTGAGCGGGAACCAGTCTGTATGTGGGATCCGAACCCTCGGCGGGAGCGCCGCCGCGCTCCCAAGCGGCGCACTGTAGCAGTGCACCACCGGGCCGGCCCAGAAGCTTTTAGTTTTATGTAATCTTATTTGTCTGTTTTTGCTTTTATTGCCTGTCCTTTGGGGTCATATCCAAAAAATTACTGCCCAGACCAATGTCATGGAGCTTTCCCCTTATGTATTCTTTTAGTAGATTTATAGTTGCAGGTCTTATGTTTAAGTCTCTTTAGAATTCTTAAATTTATGAGAATCCCAAGAAATAAAAGGAGGAAAAGTTTTGAGCTACAGGTGTATGATATCGGCAAAGTGAAGACTAGTGACACTAAATACATCTTTTTATAGGAAGTTAACAAAATAATTTGAAAACATTATTTTTGCCAATATTTTATGTTTTCCTCCCCTGAGAAAAAAACTTTCTATGAATTTGCTTTAAGTAGCAATGATGCTAAACTGCACTTCATCTCGTTTTACCTCCCTATTCGATTTTTAGTTAAGATGCAAATGACAACAGAATACAAAAGCTCACTAAGAAAAAGAACAGGGGCAAGAAATGATCTATAGACTACGTAGGTTCTGGGTATTCACAAGTGGGCTGTTTTGTGTTTTGTGGTTTAAAACAAGGATTAATAGTTGTTTTCTAGATATAGCCGTGACTTATTTATGAAATTAAAGAAATTATTAAATGTCTTTTGCTGCTTAATGACAAAATTCAAAAAAGTATAGAAAAGAAAAATAAACCACCTATAATCCTACAACCCAAAGATACCTACTTTTAATACTTATAGTGTATCTTCTTTCATGTTTCTCTTGGCATAGATAAATATGTTTGTGTATGTGTGTATTCGTGTGTGATAAAATGGGATTATGTGACATAGTTTTTGAGGTTTTAAAGAAATGCCTCAGGTTCTCTATGAAGAATCCATTATACACTTTTTCAAAAACTGGGTTTTTTCCCAAGTACTTTAAAGTTATTTGGGCTGGGAGAGGCATAGAAAATTAAACAACCGGAAAATGAGCTTCAAACTATTGAGGTGGATGATGCTTAATTCCAAGCAGTTTGATAACAAGGGAGCAATTTCTACACAAAAGCAAGGCTTCATAGATAGGTAGTCAGTTGTAGTGACATAGAAAACAGCTTTTCTAACTAGAAGAAACTATCTGGGGGGTTATGTATATCAAGAGACAAAGCAGCCTTTTGGCCTGTATGGATGTGGGCATAGGAAAGGTGGGAAAAATCTGTTTTTCTTTACTTGAAATTCAGTGTCCCTGAATGTGGAAAATGAAGAAGTACAGAAAGGGTCATTTAGAGAAAACAAGCATCCACTTTCTTTTAACTAGCAAGCAGAAGTTGAAGGCTTCTCATGCTGAAATTTTGTAAGAGACTATATCTTAGGCTGTATTCTTGTCTTATCTTGGTTATCCATGTCTTGGGAAAGCCAGGCCAGTTGGTCCATGCAGCCATACTGTTAACCACTATCATTTAACTAATAATTGTAAATAACATTTTATAACCCATAAAGTGATTTTACATCCCACTTAATACCAGTGTCGAATATTCAAATTATTGACAGAATGCTTGGGCGAAAATAGTTTTTTTATATGGTTAACCTTACAAATCTAAGTGTACACAGTGATAATAGACCCCATACTCCTATATCTTTGAATTAGAAAATACACCCCAATAACTGTAAAACACATTGGGAACCTTGGGTGTCTGAGGGGCAAGACTGTTTATAGCTCATTCCATGTTAGGTACAGTGAGAAATATTTTCTAGCCGGTGGCCTTGACTGTACAGTTGAAACTAACAATGCTATAGAGAGTCTATAGCACAGAAGGTAGCATTTTTATGTTGTTTCATTGGTGTTTTAACAGAATTGACACCAACATCATTGCTGTGCTCTCTTTGTTATGAATTGTGCTATTTTAGCAGTTGCATGGTTTGTTAGACTAATGTATGATAATGAGTCAGTATTTGAAATGATGAGGCTTGTCTCTTGTCTCTTTCTCTATGAAATTCTAATTTGTAGTGAGTGGCTCAGAACTCTCAGATATGAATTATTCTGTTTATGCAAGAAATCATTTATTAAATAAAGATGATGTTAGTAATTTTTAAATCAGTGGTTTCAGTCAGCTTTACTTTTTGGTTTGTAGACCAAAAAGGTTCGGTTCTTTGATGAAATATACTCAGCAACTCTCCAATTTTAACTCAACTGCTAATGGAGGAAAAAGCCCTACTATAGTTCAGGCATGTTATTTAAGGAATAGTTTCTATAATTGTTTATTATTGAAAAGCATTAGACTACACATTTATAAACTATTGCTTCTTAAGCATATATATAGCCTTTTGGTTATCGAAGTATCTAAGAGCCTCTAGGTCCTGCAGGCCTTTAGGTCCTGCCGATGTTGTTGGTATTATTTTAGGGCCCTGAATTGTGCAACTAAGATAAATTAAATTTGAATTTGATTCACACTCAAATATAGCTCATATCAGAGAAATTTAAGAAATTTTCTTTTGTGCATGAAAATATATATTTTAAAAAATAGTCACCTACCAATTAGATAAGAAGCAAGAAGGTATGTTCTTTTAAAAAGACTAAAGTTTCTTTTACACCAAAAATGAGGGGGTTTTTTTCTTTTCTATTTCAGTGTAAAACCTGTTCTGAGCCAAAACAGATAACCAGTTCATCTGCCATCTATGACAACCCCAATCTCATCAAACCAATTCCAGTGAAACCCAGTGAAAACCAGCAACGGCGCACACCTCAGCCCAGTCAGGTACACATAGTCCTCTGCTTTTCACATCGGGCATCTCTAGAGAGAACTTCCTAAAGAACTTTCACCCAGGGTATAGTCAAAGGAGGACCTGGTACTGTTGAAGAATGACTTAAGGTAATTCCAAGAAAGAGAGATTTCAAATTAGAGGTTTTTTCATTAATTTATTTTTCCTAGAAGGGGGTTAAAATTTTTACTTCTGCCATTTGCCACATTCTGTGCTCATCTCTTGTGGAGTTGAATTCCTTAGAAGATAATGTATTTTTAAAAAACAACAGACAACTACTAACACTGTCAGAGGTGACAGGAACATTACCCCTTGGGTCCATATTCTTCTGGGGTAAGTGATTTCCCAAGGCCACTGAGAAAACAACAACCAAGGCAACAAAATTGAGTTCAAGGATTCCGTTAAACCACCTCCTTTATACCACGCACAGCATGCGAGGCACTGTGGGTGTAGAACGGGATACCTGTTCCCAGAGAGCTCAGAATCTAAAGGAGTGGTATAAAATTCCTCCTTAGATCCAATGACTTGTCATTGTGTTTACATCTAAAATACAAATATTATAGCAGCTTTTGTATCAGTATATATATATATATATATATATATATTTCAGAATAGCACAGCAATAACAAAACTTGCTAATCTGCGGGTCCCATTATTGATTGTAAATATAATGTGGCTATGTCATTTTATCATGGTTATTCCCAATTAAAAAGTCTTTTAAGGAATTAGTTTACATCAATTTTGAAAATGAACATAGAGCCAAAGAACATTAAGGCTAACTTTGTGTATTGAATTGTTTTTGAAAGAGTCTTCTCTAATTTCTTTTGGCTCGCTTTTTATTGTTTGCTTTCAATGGAAATTTTTTATTATATTTTAATAGAGAAATCAGAATATGTTGGTTTTATTTTTTTTTTAATTTTTTAATTTTTTAATTTTTTTTCCTTTTTGTCTTTTTTACTGACCGGTAACGGGATCGCAACCCTCAGTGTCGTGCCCGCACCGGGGACCGGCAACGGGATCGCAACCCTCGGTGTTGCACCCGCACCGCGCTCAGCCAGTGAGCGGGAACCAGTCTCCACATGGGATCCGAACCCTCGGCGGGAGCGCCACCACACTCCCAAGTGGCGCACTCTCCAGTGCGCCACCGGGCCAGCCCAGAATATGTTGGTTGTAGAATGAGGCTCATGTTTTAGTGCCACAATTCAGAAAGCAGCAGAAAAAGGTAGAGGTGATATAGAGCAGGAAAGAAGTAGCCTTATAACTGGTGGCGCCAAGGTAGGTTTTTTATGTATCTGATGATTTTTTAAAAAGCTACTAGTATATAGTTGAAAGGATCAAGTTAGATTAAGTGACTTATGTTTCTTTCCAGCCCTAGATTTCTATAATTCTGTGAAAAGCTACCAGGAATTCTGAAATTCTCATATTCCTGTGTGTTCTCAGTGTCGTCTTGTATTCTGTGGGGTTAGATGGATTAACTGTTTTTTTTTTTTGTTTTTTTTGTTTTTTCCTTTTTTTCTTTTTTTGTGACCGGCAACGGATCGCAACCCTCAGTGTCACGCCCGGACCGGACCGGGACCGGGACCGGCAACGGGATCGCAACCCTCGGTGTTGCTCCCGCACCTCGCTCAGCCAGTGAGCGGCTGGTCTGTATGTGGGATCCGAACCCTCGGCGGGAGCGCTGCCGCACTTCCCAAGCGGCGCACTGTAGCAGTGCGCCACCGGGCCGGCCCCTGATGGATTAACTGTTGAAGGGATTATTTACCATTTAGTGTATATAATTTTGTACCATAGTGATCCCCAATCTGTGAAACCCAGGTCCTGCAAGGATCATATACCTCTTTTGTCAATCAACAGATACTAAAATATAGCAACTCTCTTGGGGATGGTAGGGGAGAATGCTATGAAAATTTCTGACATTAAATAGGAGGTCTTGAATTTTAAAAGTTCATTATAGTTAAGCTTTTTTTTGTCTTAATTGATCCCTTGTAAATAGAAGAAATAATCAGTTAGGTAAGTTATGTTTCATAGCCCCCTGTATAACCAAATTGTATGTGGACCCATTTTCAGATATCTTTTATTTTTTCCAGGTCTTAGACCCTGAACCCCAACACTTATCCTTGACAGCTCTGTTTGGGAAGCAGGGCAAAGCTACATGTCAGGAAACTGTGGAGCCTCCACAGACCCTCCACCACCAGCAGCAGCCAGAGAAGCTTCCGATTAGGCATGGGGTTGTTCGCTCTCTGTCCTATGAGGAACCCAGAAAACAGTCGCCGCCCCTGGAGAAGCAGCTCTGTCCAGCCATCCAGAAACTCATGGTCAGGAATGCAGACCTCCACCCAGTGTCAGAGCTGCCTGAACACCGGCCCTGTGAAAACGGCAATACCCATTCTTCTGGGGAAGTTTTTACTAGACCTGTCCAGCCAGGGTCTCCTCATATGATTGGGACTTCTCATGGTGTACGAAGTGCTTCCAAAGCCCAGAACCTGTTAGAGAAGCTTCAGAGCACCCCAGGGGCAGTGAACAAGTATGACCCTAGTGCACGAGCATCTGCCAGCTCAGCTGCCCCAAACTGCAGCAGAACTCTCCGTGCTGCCACCCTGGTGGCTCCAGTAAAGGGTTTGGCTCAGCCACAACTGGTATATTTCAATGGCTCCCTTCCGCCTCAGGCATTAGGACATCAGGCTCATGGAAAAGAACAGTCTACACTCACAAGACAAATGCTCCCCCTCTCTGGCAATCAGACTAGCAGTTCTGGAGTGATCTCCCCTCAGGAGCTACTTAAAAAGCTTCAGACTGTGCAGCAGGAGCAGCAGCTGCATGCATCCAACCGACCAGCCTTGGCAGCAAAGTTCCCTGTGGGAACTCAGAGCTGTAGAACAGGGAAACCCTTGGAATCCTGGATCAACAAGACATCCGGCCCAGAAAAGCCGACTCCTCTTTTTCAGGTTAGTATCTACCAGGGGCAAAAAAAAAGAAAAGCAAGAAAGGTATTAGTATAATTCTGTGAAATTTAGAATCCGCTTCTGTGCTCTAGGGACTATGTATGATGCACATTTCTGTTTGGAATGGGGAGCCAGAGTCATACCTGTGCCTCTTATCACCTTAACTTCCTGCCCAGAAGGACAGTCTCCCCTTTGCTTAGCAGTCTGGGAGCTTCCCCCCATGCAGAGATAGTTTATTTCTAGAGTTAAATTTACATAATGTTATAAGGTCTGAAGACAGTATAGACATGGGAAAAAACCCTAACCTTTCACTGTAGAAGCTTAATATGGTCTGCTTTGAAATCATTCTGGGACAACAAACATCTGACCTCTTCTTGTTTTTTAAGTCCCTGTAAATTATTATTTATTCCTTTATTTAGTAAGTATTTTTGAGCACTTACCATGTCAGGTATTGTGATACATGAAGATAAAGAAAACAGACTTCCTACCTCTACAGAGTCCATAATCCTGTAGGTTCTGCAAGTAAACTGAAAAAAACATATTAACTCTATATCATCAGTGTAGCTTAATGAGGATCAGGAGAGAGACGAGTGTGCCACCCACCTTCACTTCCCACGCGCAAACTGCCAGAGAGGGACAGTGCCATCATTTTTAGAAAGATTCTGCCCCTCAGGGGAGATGGTTCTCTATGTCCATCAGTAACTGGGAACAGTAAGAAAACCACAAGCTCTTGATCATCTGCCTGTGGGTAATATCTGGTGATCTGACTGTGAACTGTTTTCTTTTTGGATTGGTACAAATTCATTGAACATGAATTGGATTTAAAAATGGAAAATTTCTCCCTACTTATTACATAGATCATTAGTGGTCTTTTTGTCATGTTTCATCATGTAGCTTATAACAATTCCTCAAAAATCTTTCACTTTTTTGAAAACAAAGATCTTAGGCATGTAATACAAGTCTTTGATATGTGAGACCCTGAGGCAAAGTGTTGTCAATTATTATTTATTAAAATCCCAAATCTTAGTACCTGCTACTATAGAAACAGTGTTTGTAACTTACCCTCATCCTCATTTCAATGTAATATTGTCCCCCTTTTTTAAAATTTCTGCATTTTTTCCTCTGATGATTTAGACTGAGGAAATTGGGATTGATGGTTTGACTTAAATTTCTGTATGTATGAGTATAATTCTTTTCTCTTTTCAGTCCTCACTATGTCAAGAGCCGAGCAAGGCAAGTGTACATTTTGTCAGCCCACACTGTGCTCTTCTCAATGCTGTGACTCCTCCGTGGGGAGCACCAGTGCTCAGCACCTCTCCTCAGAATGACAAATAGGGACCAGTTAAAAGAAACAACCAACCTACCTTCCTCAGGCTAGTTTCTGCCCAAAGATGTCAAGGGAGTGATTATAAAATTACAGCAGCTTCTAAATTGCTGGCCTTTATATCTCCTCCGTGAGTTCTTTTGGGATATTAGGAGGCTGATAAATAACATTCCTTTTTCTTACTGAGTCAGAAACAAATGATAACTGTAGGAGTCAGATAGGGATCACAATGTCACTTGCATAACTGAAAAAGCTGTTAGAAACCTTGGTTTTAGGTTGGTTAAGTAAGTTAGTTATGCAGACTCACCGAGAGGGATAGGTCACTGGCACTTCTGAGGAGCAACACATGAGCCTGGGGAAGCAGCAATACATGCCGTCTGCAAGCAGGCAGATCCCATCAGCACAGGAGCAGAAGGGGTGGGCCCCATATATCTCTCTGTCCTGCTGGAAAGTGAGTGAGGCAGCTGGAAAAAGGGGCAGGAGGACTGCTCTCCCAGCACTTCCGCTGTGTGGAGAGGACTGCTGGGAAATGCATGTGTCCCCAAAACGTCAGCAGAGTAGCTCATGGGGGTTGCTGGACCTTTAGGTTAGAGCAGTGGACAGCTAGCCCTGAGGAAGAGGCCAGCAGCCCTAAATGCATGGTGCCAAATAATGATGGTAAGCCTGGAAACAGTTACTCAGAGGCCAAGCTTTCTACGCAGTGGGGACCACAGTCACTACAGCGGGCTATACCAGAGCTGCTTATGACAAGGAAGGGAAAATAGATGGAGAACTAAACAGGAATCAGTTATCCTGTAAGCTTTTCCCACCTAGAAGAGTGTGAACAGTCAGTGCTTAAATTTACCTATATCCTCTTTTGTAAGCAAGAGGCCTCTTTGTCCCTATGTCTTTCATTTCGGAGTTGCTCCTTAATCTTGACCTTTGTGTGTGTGTTTGCTATTAAACAGGTCATCTCACCCCAGCACATCCCTGCTACGGTGGCACCTTCTCTGCTCATGTCCCCCAGGGCGTTCACACAATCCACCTCTGCTCCACCAAAGGAGAGGGAGAGTGGGCTCTTGCCCCTGGGAGGCCAGGAGCTACCTGTTGCCTCCACCAGCCTCCTCCTGCCCCTGCAGAGCCCAGAGCCCTCCTGGATCACCAGCAGCCCACTCACCAAGCTGCAACTTCAGGAAGCACTGCTATACCTCATCCAGGTAAGAGGGGCACATCATCTCTCCTTCCCTTACCAAACTTGCTGGCCTATTGCTTGGGACTATGAGATAAAGACTCAATAGCTGATGCCTGTCTTGTACTCCCAGGAATAAGAGGATGTGCAGCCACTCGCCCTGAACACCAGTGGCTTCTGTGCTCAGCTAGCTGGGTGGTGTTCAGAAAACAAACTATGGCTTTGGGAGTCTCAGCTCCTCAAGGGTTTTGTAGTTTGGAGAACTGATGGAGGCCCCCAAGCTGCCACCTGTCAGAAAAGAAGGAAGCCTGCAGTGAAGATTAAGTAATCATGGCAGGACTCTGGGTGCTGCAGGGTGCCCAGAGGATTCAGCACTGGGAGACAGAGGTAAGAGCAGTCTCAGGCAAGCGGCAGTCTGCGTAGGAGAGAGGCCCAGCAGACTGCTGGACAAGGAGGAGACAGAGAGGGAGCAAGTTATGGTTGTAACTGTTAAAGCCATATTCAGACGGGCCGGCCTGTGGCTCACTCGGTAGAGTGCGGTGCTGATAACACCAAGGCCACGGGTTCGGATCCTATATAGGGATGGCCGGTTTGCTCACTGGCTGAGCGTGGTGCTGACTGTTAAAGCCATATTTTACAGATAATTCTGACACCTGCTGATTAGGAGAGGATGGAATGAGGGGACTCAGTATCAACCACTTGTCTCTATGAAAGAATAATAACAATAATAATAGCTAGCACTTACATGGAGCTTTGTGCCAGGCACTGTTTTAAGTGCTTTACATATAGTAGCTCATTCAGTCATTACACAACAACCCCATTATTTTCCCTCAGTTTCCCTCAGACAAGGAAACTGAGGCTCAGCAACTGGCCCAGGTCACACAGCTGGTAAATAAGCAGAGCTGTGATTCCACCCCAGCCTGGCTGCAGTCTCCTGCCCACTGCACTGTGCTGTGATGGCATTAATAACAGGAATGTTACCATCTACCTGCCAGAGCACACCCAAAATACATGTTAGGCCTGGGCAGGTAGAGTGCTTTCAATCAGCCAGACTTCGGACCCTCAGTTAACATATTGTGGTATCTTTTCGCTAGGTAGTCTTTAAGGAGACTTTTGTGGTGCTCTGCTTCAGCGTCAGGTGACTTTAGGGAGCAGGCAGGCCCTTTTGCAGTCGTCTCATCCACTTAAAAAGGCAGTGGTCTCTGTGAGTGAAAACATTTCTTAAAGGGAACTTATTTTAGAGAAAATGAAAGGACTGGGACTAAATCAGCATCTGAGTGTGAAAGCACAGTAGTAATCTGATGTAAATAACATTGAAAACAAATGACTCAGCCTTCAATTCATAAATAAATATCAGGATAAAATATTTCTCACCTTTTAAAACTATTCATGATAAGTTCATGGGGTTTTAAACTGTGAACTTCTTTACTGTGAGCAATAAAGAAAAAAATAAACAAGTTTGAATTTAAAAGATCCCTATATTTTTCTGGCTCATTCCATTCAGATCTCATTGTTCCAAGACTCTGGAAGTCTACATAGTCCCTATACATTGCTAGTTAGAAATTACTTTCCTTTTCCCTCCACTCTGCATACATTTTACTTCTTCCCATGGTCTAGACATCATCTGCCTGATGCACTGCTAGAAGTCACTCCAGCAGTCTGTTTTAGTCTCTGCCCCTTGTATAGGGACTTAATAGGTACTTCATAGGAAAAACAGGAATAACAACATTGTCTTCGTTGCATGAGAATAATGCTAATTCTGTGTGTGGGGTGTCAAGAAGGAATGAAGGGAGATGTGAAATGTAAGTGAATTGCTAAAACTTTAAAGGATTTGGGTAGGAGGGAAAAGTCTCTATAATTACAAATCAAGAAAACTGATTAGACCTGTGATTTTCTCATCCCTTAGCTAGACAAAAGAGCCCAGAAACTACCAGTCTAACTCCTGCTCATGTGCCAAGGCCAGGAAGTTTCCATAACTCATGGGAAGAATTAACTGGCTTTGGTGAGATATCAGTGAAACATATTGCAAACAGAATCCTAATTAATGCCAAAAACAAAGCATGCACATTGTGGGCAACTTGGAAGACCTTTAAGAACCATCAGCAATCTCTTAACCAAACCTTGAGAACCACTGACCTAGATCGTTTCTTCCCATCCCTATCTGTTGGGGACCTATGTCTTTTCATACAACAGACCCAGGCTCTTCCTGAGCCCTGTTCCATCCTGCCATGTGGCTGGCTTGCCATCTGTGCTGTTTGTAATGAGCACTCACCACTTCACATACTCACCATCGAAAACTAGCAGCTCTGTCTGGCCTTGCCTTCAACCCCACTGCACAGTCACACATCCAATGAAAAATCTACCAGCTGCCAGAGCAAACAAGTAGAGACGAGCATCTTGGTATCAAAACGCTGTTCAGCTTCATGGCAAAGGAGGACTTTGGTTTCTGCCAACCAAATCACAGTCCTTTGGGCCTTTTGGTTTTGTTTTCCAGAACGACGACACCTTCTTAAATGTAATCTATGAAGCCTATCTCTTCAGCATGACACAAGCAGCCATGAAAAAGACTGTGTGAAAGCAAATCCATTTAAAACTGGATTCCAAGTCCTTCTAGAACTCCAGCACAAGGTTCTTTCACGTTAAGTGGTGTTACCTTAAATGTTTCTGCCTTTTTAAAAAACTATGTGTAATGTGAAGTAAAATGTTTTAAACTTTTTTTTAGTATAGTCAAGTGTTTTTTTATTTTTTAAAATCACATACTTCCGTATACCTAAGAATTGAGTGGGTAGAAAAACTCCTTTGCTCAGATCACACAGTAAATGCTAAACTTAAACTATTTTTTTCCTTACATGTATTGGTCCATTTCTAGAAGAATCAGCCTCTCCGTAGGAAGAGCTGTTCTCAGAGCTTGGTTTTTATTTATTAATAGCTCTGATTATTCTTTGAACACAGAGGGGTGTGTAATTTCCCTGTTGCTGAGCTCCATGTGCCATGGAGCATGCCGACCACCAGGGGGCAGTGTCATCCCACAAGTTAACCTACGAAGACTTTAATGAGCCCTTGGAGGTAATGATGGTTTTCTTTTACCAAAGTAAACCTTTCATTTGTAAAAATCCAGTTGGCATGTTTTACCCAGGCCTTTGAAGGGGAATTATTTCTAAAAATATTTATAGCTAGTTTCTAGAGTATGGTTGTTCTAGGAGTTGACAAATAGCCCAGATTTCCAGCAACACTTCATTTATCCTAACTCATGTTATTTCTTTTGGACTTAAGCAGCAGGATATGCTTGCCTATGCTTCCAAATGAACACTCTATCATTTTTAGCAAAACGTGCTGAGGGGGAGGTCACAGAAGATTGTAACATCTTTTCTTAGTCTCTAAGAACAGGTGGCGGATGTTCAGGGGCATAATGATAAGGATTCTTCAAGCTATGTAGCAGATTGATTTTGATGTTCACAGAAATGAGGAGCTTAATCTTGGAGTCAGGAGAGCCCTTGCCAAGTTGTTAAGGCCCAAAAGGGTGTGCATGGAAATTCCCTGCTGAGTGTTAGTAATAAATAAAGCTACGCATTTCTACAGCCCTTTTTACTCTTGGGTCATAAAAAGATCTTTAGGTTACTGCACAGCAGACAGGTTTTATTCTCATTTTATAGGTCATAAAATGGAGGATGGGAAGAAAATAGGTTTCCTTGCAGTTTCTGCTGCCTAGACTTGGACTTTCAGCTCCAGACCTTTGTTCAGCCACACCATCGAGCAAAAGGTCTATCAGAACACCTCCCCCACTCTCCCGCAGGAGGGTACTTTTTCTTCTAAGGAGAAAAGGTGGGTGGAAGAGGAGGTGACTGTTACTGAACCCTTGTTACGTGCCTGTACTTTGAGTGAGGAGTCTACTGTGTTATCTGCTAATGTTTTGTTTCTTTGCTATCTCCTACAGCATCTAACATAGTGATAAAACCTGTGTGAAACTCTCACAAAATACTTGAAATTAATAAGTGCATATATAATATCTCAATGTTCTTATAAGGAGAACAGGGCAAGGAGAGAGACACACATGACTCTATTATCCCTAAATCAATGATGATAGTGCTCACTTTGGCAACATTGTGAACAAAATCAATCATAACTGCTGGCCAACCTTTAAAAACAGCTCTTTGATCTTAATTACATGTTTAAAGTTGCTTCTCTAGCTAAGGAGAGATGAATTCCATTTTTAATGTTTCTAATATATTCGCAGTAGTAAATGGCTAATTTCACGAAATATTTCTTCTTTTGCTTCAGCATCAAATAAGTAAAACAAATATCAGTTGCAGCACCTAATTGGAAAAGATGGCCGTGTGCTGATGTGATAGAGGAATGAATACGATCCCAGCATGGTCAGACCTACACAGCAAGCTTCACTCGGATCTTTTTAGGTCAACGCCACAGTGATCTATTTTGAAAAATAATAAATTCTCCATTCTTTACTAGAATAAATCACTTTGAAAGTGACTGGCCCAATTCATTTAGACCAAAGACTAAGTCTCTCTTGTAAAAGGCAATTGGTGATAGAGCGCTTATTTCTTCTAAATAGCAGAGCAGATGAGAGCTGCTTTGTACAAAGAGCTTTCCGTAGAGAGTCCGAGAAATAGATCAAAAGGGTTATCTAAGGCACACAAAGTTAGACTTCATATATAAATTAACTTTTCTTCTTCCTGCTCTCACCCTGAATTCTGAGGCCATCATGGATACCACCCGCAGCAGTTTTAACCTAATTGAATTTCAGGTGGAACCCTGAGGTATTTATTCATAAAAGCAGCATTATCCAGCGCGGTGGATTTCAACCTTGTAGAAGTCATAGAAGTCACAGCTGCCTGGTGAAGAGGACAAAGCATGCAGCCTTTGGTGTCAGACAGACCTGCCTTCAGTTCCTGGATAAGTCAACCTCTCTGAGACACTATTTTCTCATTTATGAGATGAAAGATCGTCACAGAGTTCTTATGAGGATTAAGTAGGAGTGACATATGACAAACAGCTCTGTCCCATGTACCCTAAACCTGGGAGACCCTTCCCACCCACTCTCCGTTACTCTGGCTGGCCACTGCTGCAGTGGGTGTCTTGTGCCAGCCACCGTGACCCGAGTGTGCACTCTGATGCTTATGTGTCTGCGGCTGCTTTGCTGTACCCTCTGCTCCCCTTCACTTCCTTATCAATAAAATGGAAACAGTAACACCCTTCTTACCAAGGAAGTGCTGCCAGCTTAAGACAAAGGTGTCAGCATAACCCGAGACAGTGTTGTTATTGTTGCCTCTGCATTTATGGGCCAGGCGCCATTATGATTGCAAAGCCAGAGAAGGCACTGCTGTTCAGTGGGACTTATGGTTTCTGAACATTCTTCTGCTCAGTCTCCCCATTTAGAAAGCCAGGCATGGCGATAATTGCAGAGCAAGAGAATCCTTTGTTAGCATTTCAAGAACCACCTGGTATGTGAACCCGGCCCTACTGATACTTAACCACCCACAGCTGGCTTCTTCCAGCGCCTTCAAAGGGTAGGCGCAGAACAAAACTAATTCTCATGCTGAGGGAGCTCCTGTGAAGGCACAGGGTGTTTACATCTGGTAGGTTCATTCTTCCTCAAACACCATCAGCTGCCCACTCTTTTCATATCCCACGATGGACAGGACTCTGCTTTCTTCCCCTTCGGTCAGAAGGGTGAAAATCAGAGAAGAAAGTGCCTTTTCTCCTAAGGAAATCCCAACTACTAAGTAACATTAGCCCTCTTCAGTTCCCTTGAGTATTAAAGAGAAAACCAACAGTTCAAACATGGTAAGGCCTGTTTCCCTGGGGTGTGTGATACTAGGGATAGGAGGTAACACATCAGAAACAAGCACTCTGAACGCCAGGCTTCACTTGGGCTGAGCCACATGTCAGTGGAGATGTGGGAGGGCCAGGAGCTCAGAGTTGAACGGTACTGAAGTTCTTTATTTGTCGGGGTGGACTAGGGAGGGGTAGAGGTGTAGGGTGCAGTTTTAGGAGTGATGTGTCCAGACTATATGGACAAACTGGCTGCTCACTCCTACTAGCAATAAAGAAGCCTTGTTTTTTTCTACCAGTGCCTGCTCTGCTCAGACATGTGCCTCCTTCTCTCTCTGCAAAATCAGCTTGCTTCCCAGGCTTTGGTACATCGAGTCATCTTTAAGGTTAAATTTGTCATTTGCAGCCAGCAGGTTGTAGCAACATGTCATCATGTGAAGTTGCCTGGCTGCACATAGCACTGAGTCTCCCCAACATTCTACTGATTACTTGATTTTCAGATTTCAAATATCCTGCACCCCAACTCCCTCTTAGAATTAGGGGAGTGGGAGGGACAGTTACAAATACTTGGCATATTTAACTCAACCTTGTGTATCTAGATAGATTTTCACCAAATTGAGTTATGAGTAATGCCTTCCAATAGCTTAGAACCTTGAGAAAAGTACACAAATAAAGTCTGTGTGTGCAGACTGTGTTCTTGAAACATCCGTGGGGAGGTTGAGAGCAGAGCACTGTCGGCAATGAGTGCACTCGGGCCGGGCAGTGCAGACAGGCACTGGGCTCCCAGCCAGCTGGCACCACCCGAACTGTGCAGCCAACTTTCTGAAGGAGGGAAGCAAGAAATCCAAGCCTTGGACAAGTTTACTAAGGCACAGTAGGAAGGAAGTAAAAAATATTCTATTTAGGCAAGAAAAAGGGTGGGAGACCCTACAGCTGTGAGCCAGTCTAAGAATTTCCCTTAAAGTCTGAGGACCAAGACAGAGGCATTAAATATCTGCAGAAGAGTCATGGTAGAACCTCCTGCTGAGGTTGACAAACACTGAAACAGACACTCAAGGGAGGGCCGAGAGTTGCTAGCCTTAGAGAGGCTGAGCAGCAGGTAAGCCCACCTGCCTAGAAGGCTGGACGTTTCAGTGTCCCCTGTGGAAGCTGCGAGTCCCATCCAGGTGTACATGGGCAGCTCTGGAAGCTCTGCTCCTTCCAGACCCGTCTGGTAGGCAGTGCTGGGCTTGTCTTTCTCAGCTCATCTGGCACCTGCACAGTCCAAGGGCTCAGAGACCACGATGGCAGTCCCAAGATTGTAGGCTGCTGTGAGCTCCTTGTCCCAGGTGGTACAGCGCACAGCACACTGTGCTTAGAGGAAAGAAACTCCAGATTCTAATCCCACCACCTCCTGTCTCTTTCTCCAACCAGGCGGGCATGAGCAGAAGAATTCTCTCCTGTCGTGTTCATTGTCACTGTAAGTCAGAGTCTCCAGGCTCCTCAGTGGCGTTTTCTGCTGGACAGCAGCGTTCATGTGGACTGTGCCGTGGGAGAGCTTGCTCACAGGCAGGTGCAGCCCAGCTTTTCTTTATTGCCATTTATGGCTCTGTCGTAAGTCTTTCCGGAATCACTTTTTTTTTTGTCTTTTTCCGTGTCCGGCAACGGATCGCAACCCTCAGTGTCGCCCCCGTACCGGATCGGGGACCGGCAACGGGACCGCAACCCTCGGTGTTGCTCCCGCACCTCGCTCAGCCAGTGAGCGGGAACCGGTCTGTATGTGGGATCCGAACCCTCGGGCGGAAGCGCCGCCGCGCTCCCAAGCGGCGCACTACAGCAGTGCGCCACCGGGCCGGCCCCCGGGATCACTTTTGATGCTTTTATATTTTCTGATCGTAGCACTTCTCCAGTGTCATGAGTTTAAGTTTTATTCTCTACTGTGTAAATAACAGTTCCCCCAGTGTGCACAGAGGCTGAGAAATGGCGTGACAGTCCATGAATAACAGGCCTGGCAGGCTGAGGGGCTCTGATCTGCAGGGAAATGCCCAGCCCCCATGAGAATGGCCACGACCTGCCCGGTGCTGCTGTCTGTCTTAGGGCAGACTCAGTAATGCCAGCCACCAGGCAGCTACTCCTAGCCTTGCGTTCCTGAAGACTTTCACCTTCCTCAGTGCTTTTTCTAACCCTCTCAGTCTTCCTTCACTAAGAAGATGTTGGAGTGCTTGTTCAGCTTCATACATCCAGAGCAGGTCTGTCTTTCCCATCCATTGGAAATGAGGGGCTTTCCACCAAACTCTCCACCACGTGCCATGTTTGGGTCCACTTCATTCATTTATTGAGTACACATGTACGGAGCCTCCTGCACGTGGGCATGGATGGCCCTAGAGTCACAAAGATGAGTAAGACCAAGGATCTTATAGTACAGGTTGGAGGGAGACTAATTAATTACAAAATGCCATCATAAGGGCAAGCATTGATATACATAGGGCATTATGGAGCACATGAAGCAAACAGGAGGCCTAGAGAAGACTTCCCGGAAGAGGCGATGCCTAAGCTGGTTTGAAAGGACAGGTAAGGGTTGACGAAATGGGGGGAAGCAGGGGCTCAAGGCAAAAAAAAAAAGAGCATAAGCCACGAGAGGAAGGCCGCGCTGGTGCGTGTGTATGACTGGGTGAGAAGGGGCAGGATACAAGCCATCGGTGTGCTGGAGCATAGAAGACAGACAGCAGGAGCTGTTGCTGGAAAAGTCGCAGCAGGGGACACGTTCAGGTCTTCACTTTTCCACGTGTCTGGCAGTCAAGTAGAGGAGGGAATACAAGAGAGGAGATGGCAGTGGACACTGGGGAGGCTGTGCCATGGTCCAGGGAGGGGAGGATGGCGGCCTGATCCAAGGCAATGGTAGCTGAGATTCTTAAAAAAGAAGGGACAAATTTAAGCAAAACGATAAGGTTTAGTTATTATTATTTTTTATTTATTTATTTTTTTTCGTGTCCGGCAACAGATCGCAACCCTCAGTGTCGTGCCCGTACCGGACCGGGACCGGCAACGGGATCGCAACCCTCGGTGCTGCGCCCACTCCTCGCTCAGCCAGTGAGCGGGAACCGGTCTGTATGTGGGATCCGAACCCTCGGCGGGAGCGCCACCGCACTCCCAAGCGGCGCACTGTAGCAGTGCACCACCGGGCCGGCCCTAAGGTTTAGTTATTGATCATCTGTAGATATTAAAGGAGAGGAGATGACCCCCAGGTTTCTTGTGTGGTTGACTAGGTTGATAATGAGATAAATGAGGAGATGCTGGCTAGAGTTAATAGTAATAATGACAGGTACCACCTACCGAGCTCTTCACATGGACAGGCACTGTTCTCAGCCCCTAGTATGTCGTTTCATTTGTCCCTCACTGAAACCCTGCAAGGTGTACTATTTCCCTCATCTTATACTGAGGAAGCTGAACTTGAAGGAGGTGTGTTTCTTCTTCACTGCACCTCTTCACTCAGTCCACTCAGAGGCAGAACTGGTCTTTTCCACCAGCCTGAGCTGAATGCTGGGAGAGGAAGCAGGCAGCAGAATGGCCGTGTTGGCAGGCTAGCCTAAGCTTGGGGAAGGAGAGCTGCAGCCCGTACCTCCCCAAATCCAGGAGTGAGGGAGTCTGGTTCCCACGGGCCCAGACAGTCAACCTTCCAGGGTCTGATCCCGACATTCTGAGAGCATGTGGCCCTGATG